TATATATTCGGTACTTGATGTATAATATCAAACACATTTTAGATTTAAATTTAATACAATAAAATATTATTTCTTTTCCATCGTCAATATCGGTATCGTAGTCTATTGTCGCACAACTTTAAATTAAGGCGGAGATATAAAAACGCGTGTAATGAGCCGTGTTACGACATGTAAAATTTCTAATGAGATAATGATACAGTTTCAGCGACAATGTCTGCATAATGATTATCAAAGTTCATTGTATTGAACGCAGGTTGTTGAACGTCTGTACAGACGTTCTATGCGCTCGTGCAACGCACAGTCGCTAGTCGATGCAGTCGCGTTTGCTGCAGTCTGACAAGTACAATGAACCAGTCTGTGGACATAATCGCGACAATAAACATAGATGTTTCGATTTCCGTAAGTTGGAACGGACAACTTTCCGCGTACATTGCCGCACATTCTATAGCTCATCATCGAACGCAACGCCGTATCAACTTACTGCGTTCGTTCGATATTACATATAGAATGCGCAATGTGTTTCGGACTTACATTCGACGCTTTGTTCTTCGGCGAAAATATCGATCGCCGGCGGGAAAGCTCTCAAGCACATACGAGACTGGTAAAGACTTGGGCAGAGACTTGGGCAGTAGACGCACGACGGTGAGGAGAATTTTGCAATTTTATCGCCAGCCACAATAATTGGATAAAATAAGAATTATGTGTCAAGTATATTAACGTCAAGTGCGAGAAAGATAGCAAAAACAAGAAAAGAAGAAATTTTTCATTTTGTTTGCCACTTATTTCCACAAAAAGTTAAATTTTCAATATAATTAATTAATTAATCGAGGGAATAATTATCGACAAAATAAATTGCAAATATTGGCAAATTTTCGAAAGGTGAAACTTTCATTGAAAAATATTATCCTCTTTGCGATTGTGCCAATAAGTCTTTCGTCTTTCGTCTTTTTTATTCTCGTGACAATCAGTGAGAATCAGTGACGTCGATCGTGGATGTAGTCGCGAGAGCTGCTGCTATCGTGTCGATGGTGACCGGTGACTCGAGTAACGAGCGATTGAGCTTACTTGGCGCTATGACAAGTTCGCATTTCGTGCCGATTGACACCCGACATCGATACACTGTGTGTGCCTCCTCTCGGAAATTCCGCATTACGAACACGCTCGACGGAATGCCGGGAACGCGATTCTTTCTCAAATAACCGTACGGCGATTCGGATAACCGATGGCACGAACAAAGCGGAAGATGCCGCGAAGATAAATATAAACGTGCTCGTGGTCGCGAATTAATGACCGTCCGCAATTCCGGAAGGGAAACGAGCCGAGCACGTAGGAAACGCATCTTCTGTCATATACAAGTTGGTGAATTGCACAAGTTGCATATTTTTCACATTTCGAAAAACAAATGTGTCCGCTGATTGTACTTGACGTATAATCTGACCTTATTGTTAGAGTCCAATTTTTTAATTTAAATATTAAAATATAACATTGTATATGTCATTGTATATAAATATGTTCACACTTGTGTGTAAAATTGCGCGCATCAATGCATCTCAGATATCTCAGATATCTCAGATATCTCAGATATGGTGCGGAATGAGCGGTAATCTTAACCGACTGCAGTTTATTTATAATGCGCTCTTGAAGCCGCATACACCGAAATATTTTTGTTTTATCTCGACTCGTTCTAAATACGCCAGCGTATTCTCTTTGCAAAACTTGGAGATGCCGAACTCCGTGTGGAATTCCATCAAGTTATTTTTGCCGGTCGGCTCATTTGACGCGTACCATCGCCACCATCGATCGAATGGATATTCAGTCTACCTACCTATTATTTATAATTATCAATTTGCAAAGAAAAATCGATCAATTTCAGCAAGTAAAATCACACAATGACGAAGCGATTGTGTGCGCATGTTGCGCATTGTAAAATCGCAATGGACAATTTTTTATCCAAGTGCCGTAAATAACCTTTTATAAATGATGTGAAAGAAAATATTTTGTATCAAAATTTATTATGAATCTGTATATTTTGACAAAGTGTCTGTCAAGTATACGTTAGATGGAGTTTATTCACGTTGTGTGTACAACGAAGATGCAGAATTGTTGTAACGAGGAACAATATTAATTTCTTACAATAAGTAAACATGTTGATCGGATTTTAACTCACTAATTTTTCTAATAAAAATTATTTAAGAAATTTTTCTGTCGATATTAAATGTACATTTTCTGTTCGTATGAGTTTTTCAATTTTTCACTAATTTCAGTAATTTGCTCAATTGTCAGGGACCAGCAGCAATTGTGCTTTTTCCTAAGCTTGGTATTGCATATTTTAGAAAAAGATTTGAAATCAACAATTAATTCTTTCAATTTAAAACCGTGTGTATAACAGTCGTCGTGTACCGATGAACTAACAAAATAAGAGGTCGAGTACTCTGACAAATTCCAGTATAGTCGTTGTCACGCAATGTGGCAGTTTTTATACTTGCATCCCGTATCCGGTTCGCAAACTTAGGTCAAACATGAATCAGTTCGGAAAAGCATTATTTTATTTTCGTTGCGAAAGAGGCCTGCCACTGCTAACAACGACGATGCTGAGGTACAACGCTCGTAACGGCGAGTCGTCCGCCGTATTTGTGTCAAGATCAACTAACTTTGTTCATCGTGTGACAGCAACGTATCTGCAGTGGCGTGGACCAAACGTTATGCAGTTGGTTATATGCGCCAGTTTAAAAATATCGGATGCACTGCTCTTTGCAGCATCTCTGTTTCTCCCGAAGCTATAATTTCTTGATTCGTCAATCAAAGCCAGCTAGCTATTTGACCTTGTCAACTAAACTCGATAAATCATACTAATTGTCTTTTAGAAAAATATCAAAAATGCAATTATTCAGTTTTGATTTATTCAGTCTTTGAAACTGAAAAAAAAAAAAACTGTGGAAGATTGACGTGTTTATTTCATATAGAACAAATTAATCTAATCAGAAATATCTAATTTCGATATCTGATCGTTGGCTGCTCACCTCTTTTGAAAAAAGTTTCCATTCCAAATGTAAACAAAGTCATATTTTCATAATATAATATTCAAGGGCATTTTTCTATATCTGAAAATAAAGACGACACGAAAGAGATTTACTGCGCTTCTCTCTTACGGTTTCGCTAAAACTGTAACAATGCATTTCGTGTTATGAAAAATTAGCCATTTTTCTATCTCATTGTCAGTCTCAATATTTGATATGCTTTTTCGACGCAATGTTTATTGAATTCTTTTCACATGGTTTTACTGGCCCGCATAATTTACCTTTCATAAGAAAACCATCTTTTTCCAGGATTTCACTTTGTATGTGAAGATAAAAAATGCACGTCGGAGAGCGCCATACAATAGCAATAGAGAATACGTAACTGACGGTGTCCTTGTTTCAAGCAATGATTAACGCATCTCGATCACATTGTTCACTGTATATAACTAGAAGTAAAATGACAATGCTGTTCGCGTACATCAACAAAGAGAAAAGTTTTTCCACGATCTAAGCGAGTAAATGAATGACTTTACTATTAGAAATGCAAGTCAACAATGACTTTATTTTACGTGACAATTTTCCGCTATAAAATACGAGTAATGAACTCGATCGGTCTTTAATCACCCGTTAAAACGCTAGCTACATGCTCGTAGCACCATGAGTGAAGGAACGCACGTATTAATTGATTTTTTGTATGATGACATGTATCAAAGCATATATATCAGTCAGGAAAAATACTACACCTGAAAATAAACAACTCCTCAATCTCATTGCAGATGAAATTCTCGATACATTGATTCGCCATTTAAAGCTGTCGTTTACTATAATTACTCTTGCATCACGAATAATTTTTTATCGGATTTCTTAATTTGATTTAAAGTTAATTTAAAAGTTACCAATACTACAAGCTTCATTCTGACTTGCCAACGATGGCAGATGACCGAGTTATTTTTTTGAGATGCAAAAGCATCAAAAAGAAATTTTATAAAATAATATACCGTTTAAGAAGTAGTCAATTTACGCCTCGAAAGGCTGAGAAAGAGAGAGAGAGAGAGAGAGAGAGAGAGAGAGAGAGAGAGAGAGAGAGAGAGAGAGAGAGACG